ATGTGCTGACAGCATTTGCTTGGTTATTACAGGGTGGTATGAGTGCATTTATCCCAACTTCTACCATAACTTTCACTTTACAATCATGGTTTGATCGCTCCTGTTCTCTTGCATGTAGAGAGAGAGATAGGGCATATCAAGTTATAAAACTATCTCCTTCTCCTATTGCCTACTACTCTTTCATTACTTCTAGGCATCATTGTAAGGTTAGGTTAGGGCCAAGTGGAATTTTATAAAGAGAAAGACCGCTGAACTGACAAACTCTTCTTCTAGTAAATCCTTCTGGTCCTTTACCAAAAACATCTGTAATAACATCTGCACTCCCTCTTTTCCTCCTACCTGATAATTCTATGGTCAACTCTCCCCCTGACAAAGCCAATCTCTTTGTCACCTTATTCTACTCTCCACCTTCGACAATTCCCACTCTATTCCTCCTACTCCTGCTGAACCTATGCACTATGCACTTTCCTATAATCTCCATTCATAGGATTGCTGGTGTGTTATCCAGGTTGGATGTGAGTAAGGCGCATGGACCGGACAGAATACCCCCTTGTGTTCTGAAGGAGTGTGCAGAAATTCTAGCCCGTGTTTGCTCGCCTCTTTTGCCTTTGCCTCAAAACGCAAACTTTTCCTTCTTCTTAGAAGCATGCCTTGGTTCAGCCCATCCCAAAGAAGGGTGACCATTCCTCTCACTCTAACTATCACCCCATACAGAGGGAGTTTAAGTTTTTCGTTTATAAAATGTAAATGAATTGACTTGGGAGAATATAACTAACATTGTTGTAATTCTTGTAAGATAGTGATTAATTTGAATATAAACATACAGTGGTCCCTCGGTTAACGAACACAATTCGTTCCAGAAGGTTGTTCGTTAACCGAAAATTTCGTTAACCGAATCCATTGTTTCAATGGGATATTGGGTAATTGGTTCCAACTCACCGAAAAGTTCATACAAAGTAAAAACAAAATGCAGTAAAGTGCACTTACTTTGAGGTGTGCATGTAGGAGGTTCCTGGTTGATGATGATGATGATGGGAATTAGAAAAGGGGATGGAGGAGAAGGGAGAAGAGAAGGAAGTGGGGGTGGAAGAGAAATCACCCCATGCTTGATGCCGTCATTTCACCCATAAAATTTTAAGTTCACTTGGTGTAATTCAAGATTATTTTCTTTAATTCAACACTGTACTGCACTATATATTGTCAATATGTTAAATAAATTTCAGAATGACCAACAATTTTACTGTAAAAATGTAAAAATACTCTGTGTTCTAGAGACCCACAAGCAAGATGTTTTCTCCACTGAACAGAAACACAAACTGACGCCTTGGTGGGTGAGTGAAGTGGCTGAAGGGCGCACCAAAAACTAGTTCCCTGTACTGCAATTATGTTAAATAAGTGTTAAAACAACTAATAATTTTAATATAAAACTTGGAAAAATATTGAATAGTACAACCTTCTCGATATTTACTCCAATGGAAACGAATATAAGCCCTAGAACCGATTACTGTATTGGCAGACTAATCTTCCAGCTGGTTGAGCAAGCCAAAACATGTTGACACGTTTTCGTAAGAATTTCGTCAACCGAATTTTTGTTCGTTAACCGAATTGAAGATTCTTATGGAAAGTAATTTGTTAACCGAGGCGTTCGTTAACCGAAGGACCACTGTACTATAGTTTGCAGTAGACATAAAAAATTTAGTAATTATTATTTAGTACATTTGAGTACAGTACAGGTTTGCCCTTAGGACAATTATTTCTTTTACTTTTTTCACAATATGTATTTAGAGTGGTGTGTACATGTAAATGAGTAAAAATAAATGAAGAAAGTTATACAATATATATCTACCCAAAAGTATGAGTTGAAAAACGTGTACTTAAATGCCTAAAATTTTTCTCGTGCAAATTATATGATGTCTATATTCAAATAATTCGCTGTCTTGCAAGGATTCCAGCAATGCAAATTATATTCTGCCGAGACACAGCTGATGCCTCACACCTGCGTGGGTCAAACTTTGGCCCCGTCGGGTAATGTTCGGTGTCACTCTGGATATGTCACATTTTTAATAAATTTGTTTCTGATTATTTGTGAGAGTATTTTCCCATTATTATTTATTTGTATGTGTTTGTGTGTGTGTGTCTATAAAAACACACACATATATATACAATACAGGTAAAAGAAATATTTGTCCTAAGGGCAAACACTTAAAGGGAATACAATACAGTACAGTATACATTTCTTTGCACACAAGTAAAAATGTAATCCCCCCCCCCCACGGTCAGCAAATGGCAAATGTTATTCGCAGATCTGGCGATTTGCGGCCATTTTGAGAACCTAACCCCCGCGAATTTGGGGGCTCACTGTATTTTATTCTTATATTTTATTATAATTTTGATTTATTTCTATTATTTTTTATTAATTATAATTGTTGTTGTTATTGTTTTTGTTATTACTATTAATATTATTACATTTTCACCCCCCAGGCCCTGATGCGGGTCACTGAACCTGTGCCCGGTTAGGCTAATCCTCGTAAAAAAACAGAGAAGTGGGTGAGCAGAGTAGCTCCTCGAAAGGGCTGTTCAGTCACACAGACAGAACTGGATTGCACTGCTGCCTAGATCCCAGTGCATAAATGACCATCTTATCTGTGCCGCCCATGTGCCTGTCCCCATTGTCACTTGTCCGTCGTCATAGGACTTTTGGCGGTATAGGGGTTTTGATGATGATGATGATGATGATGATGATGATGAGTGTGATGAGCTGGATGGATAATGGCTGTGCCTGAGTTGATTTATGTGGTGAGGCAGGAGCACGGGCTGCAACCACACATCTTGGCTCTCCCTTTTCCTAATTCAGTGGTGCAAGTGTTGCAGTGATTGGGGAGAGTTGCAAAGGACTGCCGATAGCCCAGTTTGTTGGGTTTTGCCTTCGTAGCCCGTCCATCATGCATTGCCTTCGTCCGCCAGTGTAGTCATTGGTTTCCTATGGTGGTCACCTCTTCCATCTATATATACCGCCGTTGGCGTCTTGTTGGAGCGCTGTAAGCATGTCTGCCAGATGCAGGGCTCCACCACAGATTTTTTGTAAGGGGTTTACTCCCATCGCCTTATACCTACCAAGGTTACTCCGCAAGGCAGCAGGGCAGTGGTAGGTAGGTGCCAGGATGTGTTCACATGCCAATGGGTCTATGCGCCGTCCCTCAGGGGCCCACTGCTACTCAGAAATTCCCTGGTCTAGCCTAGACCAACGAAGCAGCCATTTACTGTGTGTTGCCATGAGAGGCACAGCAGGAGTCTTGATGGTGAAGAGGCTGTGTACAGGTAGGGGAAGACTTATGCAAGTTGCTTCCCTGTTTGCCACAAGGGCTAGCCAGCGGCAGCAGCTGAAAGCGAGAGGGTGCAAACAATGCTTGCACCTTAACACTAACATAATGCTGCCACTAGATGCATTACACCACCCTGGGCACGCATGCACGCACGCACGCACGCACACAAGCACACACACACACACATACCCTTGCTCTTCATTGTTTTTATTTTATAGTTTTTTATATTTTCCTTTAATTTAAGCCACATTAGTGTAATGTAATGATTTTTCCACAACTTTATAGTTTCACATGTACTAATGGCAACATGCCATCTCACAGGCCACCTCATCCCCTATATTTTCCCCTACCCTATCTTTCACAGAATACTACATAATATTTTTTTTTCGCATTAACTGAATTGTGGGTACCCCACTGCAGTCGTAGGGTTCTCACACAATTGCGAATTCTCAAATAGCAAGGGGCTATGTATATTAGAGCACTGATGTGATATTGATACAGTGGTCCCTCGGTTAACGAGCGCCTCAGTTAACGAGATTTCGGTTAACAAGTTACCTTCCATAAGATTCTTAACTTCGGTTAACGAGCAATCCCTCGATTAACGAGTTTCTTACGAGCCGACCTGAACATGTTTTCGCTTGCATTTGGCGGTCCACCAGCTGTAGTATTAGTCCGCCAATACAGTAATCGGTTCTAGGGCTTAAATTCCTTACCATTTTAGCAAATATCAAGAAGTTTATACTATTCAATAATTTTAAAAGTTTAATATTAAATTCTTTAGTCATTTTAACAATTATTGAACATAATTGAAGGTAATGAAACTAGTTTTATGCTCGCCATCCAGCCTCTCAACACACCATTCAGGCGTCAGTCTTTGTGTCTTTTCAGTGGAGGTAACATCTTGCTTGAGACTCTCTTCAACTAAACAGATTTTTTCTGTGTTTGCAAGCAAATTATTGGTCATTTTGAAATTTATTTTACATATTGACTATATATAATGCAGTGAGGTGTTGATTTAAAGAAAATAATCTTGAATTACACCAAGAGAACTAAAATTTTATGGGTGAAATGGCACCATGGGGTGACTTCTCTTCCACCCCAATGCCTTCTCTTCTCCCTTCTCCTCCATCCCCATTCTAATTCCCATCATCATCATCATCATCATCATCATCATCATCATCATCATCATCATCATCCAGGAGACTTCTACATACACACCTCAAAGTAAGAGTACTTTTCTACATTTTTTGTTGAATTTAGGCAATTTTTGGCAATTACCCAAAAACCCATTGAAACAATGGTTTCGGTTAACGAGCAACCTTCTAGAATGGATTGTGCTCGTTAACCGAGGGACCACTGCAATATACTGTATTTACTTTATTTCTAAGTCAAATCAGAGCATTGAAATGATATGTTCACAACTTCTATGGTTTCTTCTGTAAGTAAAAACTGCAGCAGCCAGAGCTCAGCTGTAAATTATAAATATATGACAGCGAAATTTTAAAGGGGTAATAATAAGAGGTCCACATGAATTTAAGATTACAAATTATCGCAACCCCACTGTACATCACTTACTTAGATGATAAATTGTACAAAATATATACAGTATACTGTATTACTGAAAAGACAGCTAAAAATTAAAAAGTTATATTGATAAATTACAAAGATATGGCTTACCGTCACATGATGTTCAGTTGAGAGCATTAATGCCCAGAGTACATATATATGAAGATGAATTACAGCCTCAGATCTAAATTTATATGTAGAAAAACTTTCTTCAAACATCTGACAGTCATAACCACTGTCTGAATTGGAGCTGTCAGTGACATGGCTCACTGTTCGCTTTGTTAAGTGACCATCAGCTACCGCATGGGTCCGTACGAGAGGGGTGGCAGTAGGACCCCTATCTGATGACAAGCCGTTTACCCAATTTATGGTGTCGGGATTAACGTCACCCTCTGTTTTCAGAATTATATCCTCAGTTACTGGCTCAAGGGTTTGTGTCAGTCTTCTTGTCACTGCACATTTAGACATTCTACTAATAAAAGACACATTGCTATATAAAGACCACTTTGAACTATTGGATGAAATGGCTGAATCTGCAGAACCTTCCCTTGACCCTCTATTTACTGTATCATCCACAAAATTACACAGGGCATTTTCTGCTTTTTCATTTGTGGGAACTGGAAACTGTATCTCAATTTCTTGATTTTCCTTGAGAGATTGGCTCCTCGTCTGACGAACAGCTGTGAGGATGAATAAAATATTACCGGTATGTTGTAATACATAGAAAGTAGTTCATATACAGTATTATACAAAGCAACTGATTATGTCTTACCACTGTTATCACAGACTATATTAACATGTTGTGTTTCACTATATAATCAAAAACAACAAATAAACCTGGCTTTGTAACTTCTGCCTCTTTGACCACTTTTGCGGCATTATTTTTCAGTGTCCTCCTTTTACCTGACCCTCGGGCCATTTTCAGTCTGCTTCCTGTAGATCAACAAGAAGATAATTCAATTTTATACAGAGCCAATGAACTTGAAACTATTACATTACACATATTTACAAATTACATTAGAATTGACCCTGAAATCCTATCTTATGACTGAGCTTGGATAAGGTGACTCATGGAGTTACCCACTAAGTCTGAGTTGAACACTGGTCAAGTTGCCACGTTACCTATTGGCACTAATTCATTACCGAGTAATCAGTTTACACAGTTTTTTCAAAACCAAGTCCCTAAAATGGGATCACTAGAAATAACAGTCACCACTCAAGGAAGAAGCCATCAAATCAGGACATTAGACTAGCCAGTCTGCAACTCCCTATAAGCTGTCATTTTAGGTTTGACAGTTTGACTTTCAGTTGTTGTTGACCCCACCGTTACCCATTGGTGAGGGAGATGCCTTGTCCAGGCTCGATCATAACATTGGCTTTTAGAATCAATAGTCCATTTGTGACCAGTGCTGGATTTAGACCTGTGGAGGCCCATGGGCAGCCTCTTTGTGGAGGCCCCCCTCATTATAACTACCCAAGAGGGTGGGGTGGCGAGTGAAGCGAGCCTAAACATCTGGGAGTTCCGGAGGTCGCTGGAAGCCCCCTGGGAAAATTTTTTCAATTTGAACACTTCTTGGGAGAATTTTGAAGCCATATGCAGTTATACATGTATTGAGGAAATTAGAACATTGAGAAATTTTTAATTAACTGTATATTTATTGATAGTGTACAAATTCCCAACACACACACACACACAAAACTGAGACATGATTGGAGTCATTCATGTGGTTTCAAGTCGACCAGCCCTGATATAGCTACTACCGCACGTCAAAAATTTTCAAGAGACTTCACAGAAAAGAATATATTATTAGTTATTACAGAGAGATGATTCTTGGCATTATTAATCAGATAAACCTCTACTCAAATAATGGTTCTGTCCAAGAATGCATGTATAGGCTTCTTTAAGTCCAAGGTCAGATAGATTCAGAATAAGTGTTAACTCAACTATAAATAAAATTGAAGTTTTGCATCCAACAGTAAAACAAATAAACAATTTAATGAATTTGATAAAATCATAACAAAAGTATGAACATATTGGAAAAAACAAGAATCCAAATGAATAAACAAATAAATAAAATATTATAATATGTGGAGGCCCCCAGATTGTGGAGGTCCCTGGGCAGCTGCCCACTTTGCCCACTCCTGAATCCGGCCCTGTTTGTGACCTTGTGCCTAGCTTGTAGTTTAAACATCTCTACCAAAATACAATAATGTACAGGTATCCCCTCATTATCCGAATGGGTTAGGTTCCTTGGAATCCATTTTGATAGCAAATTTTCAGAAAGAGAAGAACAGAACACATGAGCAAAATAGAGTTCAGTTCCCCAGCAGTAAGAATAAACCAATAACCAATAAAGTTCTATTACCTAAATAGTTATATTGGTTTGAGAACTACAAAATATCTACCTAACTACTGTACAGTAATTGTTAAACTAAATAAAACATGTCCTGTACTGTAAAATTGGCACATTACCTTTGGAGGCCTGTCAGGCTAACCACAGGGGGTTAAGAGGGTTGGGCTGATTTGAATTTTATTCATTTTGATTTCATTTGGACCATCTTTCAGATAAGAGAGTGTTACATTCTGAGTGATAAAGAAGTTTAATAATAAAACTTTCCAATAGAGAAAAACCAGACAACAAAGGAGACCTATTCAGTATACAGTAGACCCTCACCAACCGCGGATTTTCCATCCAAGGATTCCCTGTATCCCATTACAACAACCGCAGTGTAACCGCCCAATGAGCGACTGTGGGATAATGAGACCCTTGCACGTAGGACTCGATTGTTCTTTATTCGGTCAAAACCTGCAGAGTACAAATTACATATGTTATGTATGAGATAATTAAATCAATCGTACATTCCTTCACTATTAACGACTACATATAATATATTTGAGTAGAGTAGGGTGTTAAACCATATACAGGTAAAACTTATGTGTTTCGGGTCTAATGTAGGACTTATTAACTCCCTGACTTGATGTCTCACTGGACGGCTATAGATTAATCGAGCTAGTCAGCCCGAGGCGAGGGCCATCTGTTTCAACTTAACACCTCAGCAAAGCTCGTTGTCAACACTCCCTCTGTCTCTCTCCTGCCCCCCCCACCCCCTTCTCTCTCTCTATCCCTCTCTTCCTTCTGGTTTATCCTACTGTGGCGGTAACACGCAGCATTTCGTTTTATTTATACAGGTACTGTATATTGTACCTTGATAAACGATGCATATGTGGACTGCGGAAAGTCAATGGACAGGGAATCAATGGTCTTCGAAGCAATAAATCCCATGAGAATACAGTGAAATCCCCGTTAGCCGGAACAATTGGTGCAGATCACTCCGGAGATGAGAGATTTCCGGGTAAAGAAACGACTTTCTCAAACCCGGAAAAATTCCTTATCCCCGGCACCATAGCCTTGGGCGTAGGGGTTAACAAAGCCTGGGAAAGATGCTGGTCTATCGGCAAAGGATATTTCACGGTTAATACGGTAGACAGAGAAGAACAGAGATATAAGGAAGCCATAGCTAACTAAGAATGTGCAGCAGAGCGGGAGGCTAAATGTCATGAGTTAGATTTAGCAGAGAAAGAGAAACAACGCTCACATAAAGTCTTAGCCAATTTGGAATCCGCTTTAGGGGTATCTGTGGATGTAGATGAAAGTATATCTAAATCTTTGAAGGGACTACGGATCCCTTGTTTTATCAAGGGCACATGATATGGACTTGTTTTTACTTCGGTATGAACGCATTGCTGAGCTTCAGAGAAGGAAGAAATATGGTTATCACATATATCTAGGTACTTTGTCACGAGGTATGGGGCTACAAACTTATTTGGATCTTCCTCGTGAGACTTTTGAGAATTATGAAGAATTAAAGAAGGCTTTACTTTTGACTTATGCAGTTGACATAGAATCATACAGACATAAATTTAAAGAGTGTAGACTAAAGGATGGAGAAACCTATGTTCAAATGATAACTCGTATGGAGAACTATTTTCGAAGATGGCTTACTATGAGTGAGGTAAGCAAAGATTTTGAGTTTGTAGTCGATTTTATGATCAGAGATAATTTCTATAGCAATTGTTCTCATGATTTGAGAACTTTTCTGAAAGAAATTGAATTGGCTGATAAATTAAAAATTGCCCAGGCAGCAGACAGATACTGTATAGACTTGCCCATAGAAGCAGTAAAACTAAAACTTGGCCCAAACAACTTTCGGATGTCTACAATTCTGTAACGTCCGACTTTCAAAAGAAGGAAGTTACATGTCATCACTGTAAAGAGAAAGGGCACATACGACTTAATTGTCCCCTGATTTCTAAATCAAAATCAAAACCAGTGAGTTCAATATCTACAGCTAAAGTAAACTTTGTGTTCAAAACTGAAACCTGTTCTCAGAATTCTTTACTTGACAAGGGTAAATTATTTGACAAAGATGTGAATATCATGCTTAACACTGGGTGTAGTGCAATTTCAATATGTTTTATAGTGAGACGGTCGTATTTATGGAAATGTTGGAAAAGGTGTTAGAGTATTTATAAGTTAAAGTAAAGTTAAGTTAACCTAACCTAGCATAAATTATCACTTGCCGTGGGTGAACTTACTATTACTGAGACGGGGGAAGAAGCTGTGAAGTCCTCTATATTAGCCAAAATATTGTATCATATATGCTTAAGGCACATTTTCATTAAATAATCAAACTCCAGCTTCCAGTGAACTTGTGTTATTATGCACCTAATTCAGCCAAATGGAAGTTTACCTAAACGAAATAATGTAATTGGTGATGAAAAATTAGAGCCTGCAGTATTTCACATATTATATCATGATCCACTGTATCAAAGGTGTTTTTGTATGGAATATTACCATCCTTGTGATAATGCCCTTCAAGTGAAATTTGCCTCTACCCATTTTGATATTTTTAGGCATAAACCTCCCGTTTATATTTTCCAGATAGAAACTCACTTATAAAACTGCTAAAAAGTTGCATTAAGTAACTTAAATGGCCATACTTTATTAATATATGCAACATAAAGTTTTGAGATGATTTTCTCCAAGTGAAATTTGCCTCTATCCATTGGAATATTTCTAGGCAAGAACGTCACTAGTTTATATTTTCCTGACAGAAACTCACTTATAAAACTGCTAAAAAGTTTAATAAATTACCGTAAATGTGCTTGCCAGATTAATACTAGCGTTAGTAAGATGGGATGACGACAGCAGCTTGCCTTTGGCAATAACAAATTGACAGGCAGCGCAACTTTTACGAAAGTCGTATTAGGACAGGGAACACAGCTTTTGCACTGTCATAATATGGGCCGTAAAACCAATAATGTAAAAAAAAAAACCATTTGTAAAATTACCAATACAGTACGTGTTTCTTTGTACGTTAATCGTATTGACAAGAAATATTCAATAAAACTAACAAAATAATTATGAAGAGGGTGACGAAAAGCAGCTCATAGCCACCTCTTCAAAGTTTGGTGCAATTAGTTCGTTTTCATGCCACCACACTCTTTCGTGCGCTGCACTAAAAGGTTCTTCGCATTTAAAAATACGGCTTTCGATATGAAGATATTCTTCAAGGAAAGATGTTGTTTAATAATATGGCCGTAAGCGCAATCACCGAAGTCGGGACTCAAAAATACGTAATTTGACAAAATTTTGGTACGACTGAGGCGGTCATATGTCTGGGTGGTCGTAATTCGAGTAGGTTGTAAGTCGGGGAGGAGCTGTAAACTTATTGTTACCCACAATAAGGCATGTTAAGACAAATTACATACATCAGTAATACTCCATTATAAAAAACTAACATACAGTGTTACCGCCACAGTAAGATAAGCTAGAAGAGAGAGAAAGAGAGGGATAACCATAATAAGATAAACTAGGCGAGAGAGAGAGAGGGGATGAGATGAGATAAGAGATATAGTGTTGACAACGAAT